GTGTACAAAACAACAAAGATGACGACGGCAATGCTTGTTGGTCGTTTTCAGAGAATGTCGGTGATTTTAAAGTTATTTTGAGTGATAAATAATTTTTTTTTTGCGATCTTTGCACTTGCCCGCCGGGCAAATGCAATGAAATCTGTACTCTCCCGCCAATAAAAACTACTTGCCGCGGGCGAATCGGGCAATGGTTAACATCGAGCCCTGCTTATCATGTAAAAGGGCCAACTTGATTATATGTACGATGCTATTTTACTCCAAAATCCAGAGCATAATCATCAGATCATCATGTATCTGCTTCAGTCTAGGCCCGGGTTGTGCAACATGTGGCTCTGGAGCTGCAGTGGCTCTATGGACCTTCCACAGTAGCTCTTAATAACTATGGCTAAAACTATAGGGAGTGAATTTTGTTCCATTATGTTTACAATAGAGAAGCACATAATGAACTTGGAAATTTGAGAAGAAAAAACACATTTTGGCAATTGAAAAAAGAAAAATGCAATCCAGAAATCACAACTTGAAAATTGTTTCAATCAAAAAAAAAGGTTTTCAGAATAACTTTGCTGCTTTCTCAGATTTTGTTATTTCACATTATTAACATTTATTTGTAATATTTTATTTCTTCAAATATTTTTTCAGTATTTTTTTAAAGATAGAAAGATTTTTTTAAAGATTTTGTTACTATATTTTAAATAATTATTTAATTGTATTTACAAAATGTGTTATTTGTTTGCAACAATAATGGAATAAAGTAAATTCCATAAAAACTATAGAAATCAGAGATCCTAAAAAACCTGACACACTGATTCTGCAGATTTTCTCCTTAACAGTGACTATAAAATCACAAAACATGATCACTGTTTCAATGTTATTCTATTGGAAAATAATCTTGTTTAACTTCTATTCCTCTCAGAACCTTCGTCTTCGGACTGTTGAGGGGGAGCAGTACCAGTGTCGATCAGCAGTGAAGTTTCATGGAAGTATGGAACAGAGGTTCATTCTGTTGGACTGCCAGACGGTTTTGTATGGAACGTACAGGTAGGTTAGTTCTGGTTTACCCTACTGGATGTTGCCAAAAGTTTTGAGAATGTCAAAATATCACATTTTCCCTAGCTCTGTTGCTTCTGTTTTTTTTTTATGTGTTTTTGTCAGATGTTTTTTGGTATATGGTAATATCATTACAAGCATTTCACAAGTATCGAGAGCCTATGGACAATTATTTAAGATCTCTTCAAGATCTCCTCAATTCAAACCTCTGGCACTCAAACCTGCCTGGAGCCATTGCTGAGTAAGCTTTGCACTGGTGGTGGCCCGATCCCACAGCGGAAACTACTTAAATCAGGCATACATATTTTTGCCCTTTTTGGGCCAATTCTCTAGCCTGACGTAGTCCTACTCAATTCTAGTCAGAATATGAGTCTGATACTGCTCCATAGAGCTGGGATTATAGGGCGTGTTTCGAACGAACCAGGGAAAAAAATGCCTCTGCACTCAATTGGATAGACCTACAACCAATAAGCGCAACGGAGTGCGTGACGTATGTTAAGTGACGCAAAGTTGTTGTCAACAAAAATCATAGCGTGCAGTTGCACGCCTAGAATAAGAAGATGAGCCTTGATCGCGTTTCTCTGTTCCTCTTTTAGAATTAATTTGCTGTCGATATCTTCTAGAACAGACCTAATAGCAGAATCTACTCACCTCAACTCTCCAGCGGCCGTCATTGTTGTTGTCACCCAAGCGCGCTTTGGTGATGTGGTTGATTACGTTACTGTTGATCATCTGTCCATCATCGTATAAAGACCGCCCTGAGAATTTGATTGGCCCGCCAGATATTGTGTGAGCATACTTGCGCTACTATTGAGCAATTCCAGACCGAACTACCCGACCTCAAACGTTGTGGGCAGGACTAAGTTCGGAATGGCACCCAGGCTACCAATTCTCCAGTCGTCCAAGATTTTTTTTGGATGGAGCCGAGTTTTAGCCTCATTGCACATCCTGTGTCCTCTAGTATACAGAGGGTAACGAAGGGAGATTAGGCACTGAAAACCAACTCCCGATCAGGAATCGTAAGGTTGGGATAAATCCAAACATGTTTGAAATTAACCCGGCCTCAAAAGGTGTTCTTGAACAAGTCCTGCTGTTGACGCAGAGTTACAAGTCTCTACGATCTGATTTACCAGAACCTCACGCACTGCTTATGTGCAAACAAGGGAGTCCTTCTTCTTCCAGACTGACAACTCTAACCAGTGCCATCTCTCTGCGATGAGTCAGACATGTGGTTCATCAACGTACAGTGTTAGCAGTTAGATCGCATCCAAGCGTCGGGCTGTACAGTGTGAAGGCAAATTTATGCTCCTGACGCATAGCCTCTGCCACCGTCAAATCTCTCTGTTCGTTACCATACCCCCAGCGCAAAGGTTCTGCAACCGTTGTTGTGCACCTCAAAAGATCCTGACAACGTGTCGGACGGTCGCAAACCCGCGCAGACCTCAAGTGGAAGTGCACAGACAAAAAGGAGCTGTGATTGGTCCTTAGTATGCCTCTCCGGCTGTCTATGTGGTCGTCCTTCTGGATTCTATGTTGGGGCGCACCATTTTTAACTACAACGAAAGGTTAATCGAGGAGGTTCGGAAGTACAACTACTTGTACGATGCCTCAGACACATTATATAAAGATGCCAAGGTCTCTGCCAAAACGAAGTTCTCGTGACCATCTGCTAAAGTTCTTGCGAGTTCTCGAATACGCTCCCCCTTTGGTGGGAAACTGCTGTGCATCCCTAGAAATTCCAGATCGTCGGTGCAGAAGTATACCAGCAAAACCATTTTGCGACCAGACCCAAGCGACATTTGATGTGCGCGGTTGAAGAAGTCTAATCTGCCCTTTAGATGATACAATGTGAGCTATGGACTTTTAAACCCTGCATTTTTATCATACAGTTTAAGCTGTAGCTGAGTACAATGATTGAAAATATCGTACAGCTTTAAGGAGATAATAAGGAGATAATACTGCCGTTTGCTGGACTTTCCTATGTGCTCTGGAGCCTTTTTTTGGCAACAAATTAACCCCTCTCTTTAAAGTTCATGATAATCAAATAGATGGTTGCCCAGATGAGATCTTACTAGCTGCTCTAAACCTCCCTGTTAGATGGAATGTATTGATGACTGCATGGAATTCCTTGCAGTTAATCATGGTTGACATAAGATGATTAGTGATGTCAAGCACCATCATTATTTAAAAGTGCCCAGTCTGTAATTCTAATTCAATCCTCGCAGATTGATCTCCAGTCTTGTCCAATCAACACCCAGACCTGTTTTAATGCAGAAATAATGTTAGCTCCAATAAACTGCAGTTAAGCTGATCACTCCTCAAAACATTCTGGAGTATATGCAAATTGCCATTATGAAAACCGAAGCTGCAGACTTTGTGAATATTAATATATGTGTCATTTTTATAACTTTTGGCTACATCTGTAGGTCCAGATGGTGCAAAGGTACTGGCAATATCTTATGTTATGTTCCTTCATATAGTTTGTCTTTTTTTTTTTTAAAGCTACACCTGGTCATTTGAGAAGATCAACCTGAGTATGGTCCTAGTTGTCACTGGCCAACTGGTTTCCACATTTGATGAGGAGTTCAGAAGATTATACGGCCGTTCCAGAATTCCTTCAGCTCTGCCCAGTGGGAGTCTTTTGTCTACATACCCAAAGTCCAGTCAGCTGTCTCTCAACCTTTACATGAAATCCAGACCAACACCTAAGACGAGAGGTGGAATCCACGACAGGCGTAATGATGCAGCTGTGTTAAACAGAGGCCTCAGTGTGCAGGAGATGCTGCATCAGTCCCACTTAACAGACACAGGAGACCTAGTGAGAGGTCAAAACTATAGTGGAGAACCGGTGAAAATGAATTCTATGACCAGGCTCAGAATGGGAACAAGAAATCTTGGAGTTCCTGTTGCTCAGAGACAAAATAGGGATGTGCATCAATTGAACAGGGCATCTCAGCAGCACCTCAGGCACCAGACTCGCTATGGTGCAGACCAGAATCTGATACCGTACAGCTCGGAGACATCTCTTCACAAATGGAAGATGGATGCATACTTTACAGAGAGTAACATGCCTCCTGATGTCTATGTACAATCCCCAATGATATCTCCACATAGCAGTCAAACTGGTTTAGATGAATATCAGTCACAGCTGATTCAGAGCAGATCCATGGACATCAGGTCTAGGATTGAGGAAATGCGGCACAAAAGGCTAAGTCTGCAGGGGCATGCAGATCTCAGGCAAAGCAAGGAATCGTTGTGGTCCATGTGCTCAACTACAGACAAGCCACAATATATGAGACCTTTTCATGGAAAACCAAGGGGGGTAGAAATGGACCCACACACCGAAATCAGTAACGGTGTGAATGACAGCAAACTCTACATTGAAGCTGACGAAACAGAGCCGATGATCACTGATGCTAAACGCTCTCTCTCTCACAGCAATATAAAAATGGGCACAGAGTTAAGGAGTGGGCAGATGCAAAACAGGCACAACCTCCCTCTAGACAGGGCCCAGTCTGATGCTGAATTAGGTTTGAAACTGAGCGATTCAACTCTTAAGATCTCAAATTTGATTTCTGGCAGTTTCCGGCACTCCAGGGTGATGGAATCTTTGAGTGAGATTCCAGAGGAGAGAGAGGCATCAAACTCTCGTGATGCTGGCATTGAATCAGTACTTGGAGACAACCATGATGTAAGGTCTACACATGAGAGGCTTCTTCAGAGAGATTATAACGATAAAGCCAGAGAAAGATACGGCTTTATCCAAAACAGAATAGACTCACCTCCTCCAAGAGAAGGAAACACATCAGCTCACATCAGCACTGAAGGATCCTGTCCCCCGGTTGAGCCTCAAAGAGATCCCACAAAGAGCCAGCAGAAAGGGTCAGAACTTCAGAGAATGAGTCCAATGAGGTCACCAGGTAATCCTCACCCTACACAAAATGAAAAGAAAGTCACAAGGAAAGAGAGGTCACTCCAACGGACCTCACTGAAACCCGAGAACACTTTGGACTCTAGCCATGTACTCCAGATGGACCATTCTAAAACATCATCTTTAGGGCGACCGATTAAGACAGACCGGTCAGCGGAAAAGTCAAACTCACAAAACTCTCTCAGTGGGCCAGAAAAAACGAAATATCCTTTCTCAAAGCTTCCTCAGCGATCAAGCAAAAGAAAGACAATGCCTTCATCAGATCAAGACCAAGGCTCGAGGAGCACTCTGGACACCGAGGCAGTTTCGGCCTCTCAGGTTAAAAAAGAAAAAGCTTACAGTCGATACGAGTACCTGATTGGGAATGAAAACGGCTCTCTGGATAGGACAGGGAGGTTAGCAGATAGCTCAGACGTAAAAGTGAAAAGTTTGTCCCTGAACAGACGTGGCGATGGAATTCGAACACATCAAACACAAGGGGGCGTTGATAACAAACTGGGGCGACTAATGCAGCGCATGGGGAATCTGATCAACAAAAACAAGTAGCCAAATCCAGGTTAGATGCAGGTTGGTTTACCCCTTCATTATTCCAGACCTTTACAGTCTGTGTCATTCTATCTCAGTTGTGGACATTTCTTATTCTATGTTCCTTATTCTACACCGAAAGCGCTCTGAGCAGCAAAAGTAGTCGGTTTACATGAAAAATCTATGGTTGAAGCACATCAACAATAGTCACATCAAGCAAAGAGAAAAACTGATCAGGGAGGTGGGAGGGAGATCGACACATCGCTGGAAAAATCCCCAAGAGGTGCCGGCTTGAGGCAGCTTTTGCTGAAATTTCTGGTGACAGCTTACCAATTACCACCGGTATGTGGGGATCTGCGTGGCTCTAAAGGCAAAATGATATTTTAAGACAGTATCGTAATCTTGATGAACTGACTGTACAGACAATATTTTGTACTTTTTCACTTAATAACATATTAAAACTTCTTTTTATCCCCTTATCACACCAATATAGCAACGCCACTCAGCCCTTGAACACAGGAGCAGCACAAGCATTAGTAGCATTTGTAAACTCTGTACTTGACGCACCTCAATTATTTTGGACGAGCATAAAAAATGAAGCAGCAGATGTTTTTTCAATGCTCAATTTGTGTTCTGTGTGAACGTAGCATTAAAGTGCGATCACACCGAAGGCAAATTTTGTGTCCAGAGCAAATGATTTAGCTGGTACCTCTATGTAGAGGGTAACTCAGGAGCAATACATGGTGAGAGAGACAAAGGTAGGGATTTAATTGAGGCGATAACAAGCTTTTGGCAAATTCAATGTTGACAAAAATTAAGTAGGGAATGCCCTTAAGAGGTTTGCAGGTGGAATTTAAATCTTTTTGATTTAGCCCTAGAAGGACTCTTTGTCATCCTCCCTTATCTCCAGCACAGTCACCTGCCAGCCTCCGCCTCTCACAGACCCTAGCTCCGGTCCTCCGACCGGCTGCTTCTTCATGCTTCTGGTGCTCTTTCTGTCATTTCTAGTGTTGCGCCCATGCTGATACCATTATTGGATGGGGGCCCGATCCAGCACTAAAATTGTTGTATCAGTATCAGCAAGTACCAACAAATAGCGCACAGATACCATTTTGAGAACCAAAAGTTTATTCAACTATTGTCAACCATTCCAGGTAGGGAATAAAAAGTTCTACTGGATTCACTTTGTATTAGTCTTTTTTCTGCTTCACAAAGGTAAGCAGCAGCTTGACAAAGCCATGATGGCAATTATTTTACATCCAAGTAATTTGCAGTTCTTCATATATACACACACATCAATTTCAAAAAGATGGTATCGGTATGGTATCTGTATCGGCCAATGCTGCACAGACAGGTATCGGGTATAGTATCGCGGCCAAAAAATGGCATTGGCACGTTATTTCCCCCTGCTTCTGTATAAGATCCGGATCTTCGTCTCACCTTACCTTAAGACCTTAAGCTCCACAGAATCAAGCCCAGGGAAGCCAACAGTGTTGTTCGGGTTCTCAAAGTAAATAAAGCACTGCAACTCTTTGTTTAAAAACAAGTTCCGCAAATTTGAGGTGCAAACGACAACCAGAAGGTAAAAAAAGTAGTCTGCTGCTCATCAGTCAAATTTCTGGTGAAATGTCAGGTTGGCAGAAGCACACAAACTTGCAATATTTATTTTCGCAGGTTGAACATGAGTTATAAACTTACCTGAAGTTTTGCTTGAAGTATTTGGGTTTGAAGTCCTTTGTTTACAGACAATAAAGCTAAGTAGGAAATAGCCATAAATAGGTAGGAAATGTTGATATGAAGTAGTGAATGGGAAAACTGACCTTTGATGAAAGATCTGTTGTATTCGACAAAGTTGGGGGTTCTTTAACTTATTTGTTTTATTTTGTATTCTGTATTGTTGTATTGATTAATGTTTACATACCTGCACTTTTTCTATTTTTTATTTTTTTAGTGTGCCTGTCAGGGTGATGTCACAGCTGTGCCACTAGATAAGATGTTATGTTAAAAAAAAACTGTAACTGAGGAGAAAACGGGTACATAATATCCCTCAAACAATAAAAAAACATTTATATTAATATTTATAATGCCTTTCATTGTTTTGTTTTTTAAACAAGTGAAAAATAAGATCTGACCCGTATACGACATTTGGAATGCAACACCAGAACGACCAATTAGATGTGACTTTGACATAGTTTTTTTTTTAATCGAATTTGTCACATTTTTATGCCATCCAGCAGTTAATGGCAGCAGTTACCAAAAAAGAAAGAAGCTGGGATAGAAACCCTGAGAACAAAATTATCTAAAATAAGTAAATTTTATCCCAAAAATGTGTTTTTTCCCTGAATTTAAGCAGATATGTAATATCCTCTGCCACTGATATTATTATTTATACATTTTTCATAAAGTTTTTTTATGCAAATCGTCTTATTTTATCGGGAATTTTTCTTACTTACCTGCTTAAATCAAGGGAAAATACACTGATTTCCAAGAAAATTGACACACTGCAAAAACAAACTAGAAAGAAGTGAGAAATTCTTAAAATGAGTGTATTAAGCCTTCATTTTAGTAGGTAAATCAGATGATTTGTAAAATGTAAAAAAAAAAAAAAAAAATTATGACTTGAAATAAGACAATGCAATTACTTTTTCATATTTTAAATGTAAATGGTCTTGTTCCAATAGCAAAGTGTCTCACTTACCTCCTCAATTCAAGAAAAATGAGCTTATTTTAAGAAAAAAATGACTTATTGAGATTTCATTTTTTTGCAGCGCATGTTCATATTTCGGCTTTTACAATGATGCACACACTGCAAAAGATGTAGATCTAAGAAATTTTTTCTGAAAATAAGTTAATCTTTTCTTGAATTGAGCGGATGAAACAATTTGCAAATGGAATAAGACAATTTACATTTAAAATAAGAAAAAACACCTGCAGTTTCTTAATTATCTTATTTTAAAGGTAAAAATGCTTATTCGTTTTGCAGATCACCTTATTTTCCTACTCAAATAAATTGTAGATATACTTATTTTAAGAATTTTTTTTAACTCATTTACAAAATGTTTTTGCAATGCAAAGACACATCAAGACCTTAGAGCTTGCTAACTTTATTCGGTCTAACTGAAAGGCTTACAGAAGCCATTATGATACGGGAAATGGTTTGTGTTTCTTCTACCATTCAACCAGAGGAATTTAAAATGCTACAGAGGTTAGATAGCATGTGACCGTTTGCTTTTGTTGGTCTAATACATTGGATTGCATCAAGACTGCTGCAGTAAAGTTGATAGGAGAGGCGCTACTATATCTGATTAAAAAGTTTTATTGACATGAAGTTCAGAATGAACTCAGTTTCTGTGAAGTAGTTTAAGTATTGACTCCACCATTTCCAGACTGTGTTTCTGTATCCACACAGTTTTAGTTAAATAATGGCCTTTTAAAGTTGAAACATAACAGCTATTACTCCGTGATCACTGTTATTCTGTTTTTATATGCATGCAGGTCAGTGTGGAGCCGTAAACAGAGTTTAGATACAAGCATCATTTGAGAGGTAATGGGGAAAACAGCACAAAACAAATCAGATTCCTGCAAAAATCTGATTTGAGCATAAAGACCTGCAGTGTGAACACAGCCTCAGCCCCACTTAGTCATGACACCTAAACTTTTATTTTATATATA